GGATGACGCGGCAGGGGGCGGGGCCGCGGCGGGGGCGGGGCCGCGGGTCTTACCACGCCGTCCTCTTCGCGCACCACGTACTGTGCCACTTTGAAGGAGCTCAGGTACTCGTTCATGTTCTGCAGCTCCGTGTCGTCGGTGGCATCCTGGTTCCGGTCCAGTAGCTTGGAGATGGCTGCGTCGTCATAGTGGATCACACTGCTGTCCTCCACGTCCTTGTTGTCACCTGGGGGGCAGACCGGTTACAGTATGGGGACACAGAGGAAAGTGCCCAGGTCTGGCTGCGCACCTCCCCAGGACGGACTCCCAACAGTGGCCTTTCCCAGTCCCCTCCAGGAGCTGCAGCTGTGCAGCATCATGACCAGAGGAAACCGCACTGTAACAGCCCCACTCCCTGCCCAGCCCACAGTCTGTGGACACCCAAGTGTCCTGGGGCTCCTGGGGGCAGGCAGGGGAAACCCCTTCCTCGCCAAGGGCAGCCTGGACAGAGGAGGAGCTGGGGGCTGGGATCAGGTTGGCCCCTACCTGGCGGGGTGCTACCATGCTTTTTCTTCACACTGGCAGCCAGGGCTCCCCCTTTGGAGGACTGGACATCAGGGATGGGCGTGACAGGTCTCTGGCCCTGAGACATCATGCCTGTAGGGCAGAGGAGGAGGGGTGCTGGTGTAGGACAGAGAGGGGATGCAGGGTTGGTGGGCAGCACCCAGAGACACCACCTTGGCCAGCCCTGGCCAAGAGACACAGGCCGGGGTCGCAGAGGAAAGGGAAGCTGTGTGAGGCGGGCCAGCAGGTGGGCCCCGGATGGGTGTGTCTCACGCAGGGCCACCCCCAAAGCCCCACCACGCTCCCACAGAACGGAGACCCACCCTCCACGTCATCCTTGAAGAGCTCCTCCGTGCCGAACTTGAGGATGTCGTCTAGCTCCTGCTTAGTCATGGAGCCCGACTTGGAGCCAAGGCCGGGCCGCACCACCAGGTGGGTGAGCATCATTTTGCGCTTGGCCACCTGCGTGATGCGCTCCTCCACCGAGGCCCGTGTCACAAACCGGTAGATCATCACCTTCTTGTTCTGCCCAATGCGGTGGGCACGGCTGAAGGCCTGGGAGAGACCTGTAGCTCAGCACCATGGCTCGACCGAGAGCTCTGGGCACAGGGCTGGGTGTCACATGGTGGGGGGCACACATGTGAGCCCACGAGCATGGACTGGGCTGCACAGCTGCACGTGCAGAGGTGTGTTGCATGGGCACCCGTGCAGCGGCGCTCACTGCTCTGACTGCGTGTGCCACCTGCAGGACTGGTGGCAGGCTGGGTTTGGGGTGGAAATGTGCCTTTCCAGCTGGAACCAGTCGTGGCTGTGAGGGACGATGTGGCCAATGTGCTGGATGTAACTGAAGCTGCACAGAGCTCTGGTGGTGGGTCAGGGGGAGATGGGGCTGCATCTCCCTGTCAGTGAGCCGCTAATGGGACTGCAAGACCATGCACTAAAGACACATGGCCACCTTTTGAGGGCAGCAAGGCCCCGAAACTGCCTGTTGCAATACAGGTTGAGCATTTCTAATCTGAAAATCTGAAATTTTGGGGGCACCAACATGACATTCAAAAGAAATGCTCATTGGGGCATTTCAGGTTTTGTTTTTGCGTTTTATTTTGTTGGCTGGCCAGTAAGAGGATTCGAACCCTTGACCTTAGTGTTATCAGCACCACGCTCTAACCAAGTGAGCCAACCATCCAGCCCCATTTCAGGTTTTGGATTTTCAGATTACGGATGTTTAACAGATTAAGTATTTGCAAATATTCCAAAATCCCAGAAAATCCCAAATCCAAAACACTTCTGGTCCCCAGCATCTCAGATAGGGGATACTCGAGGACGTGCCTGTACAAAGACATGCCTGAGACCCTGTGCATCAGGTCCCTGCGTGATGTAACCCTGGTGTGAATGTACCTGTGCGAGTGACGCGTACATGCATGCATACACATGTGCATGACAGACATGACTTTGTGTGTGTGCCCATAACAGTGTGTTAAACATTTGTGTGTGGGGTGGCCAGGGAACATCAGCGTGGCCACACCTACAGCCCCCAGCCCCCTCAACCCTCCCCTCCTTTATTAGTCCCATCTGCCCCCTCTCTTCCTCTCCCCCACCTCTGACAGGCCCCCCACTCTGTGCTCCTTGTCCCCTCCAAAACTGGCACCCCTCTGGATCCTAAGGCTCCCTCATCCTGCCTCCCTCCATGGCCTTGGTCCTAATGATGATGGGATGGACCAGGATTAGCAGCCACCACAGATTGCTGTGTGCCCTTGGACACTTCCCCTGCTCTCTCTGGGCCTGTTTCCTCCTCTGCACAATAAGGGCACTGGAGGGACGGGGACAAAGCCTCCACTCCCCTCCCAGGGCCCCTCCGCAGGGGAGGGAGGCCCACAGAACTGAGGAGGTGAGGGGGACAGAGCCAGGAGGGTACGAAGGATTGGGGGAGGTCCCACACAAGGCCAAGGGCAAGGGACCTGCTGAGAGGGTGCCGGCAGGACGGCCACAGACCTGGATGTCATTGTGCGGGTT